CGGGGGGGCCCCCGGGGGGGCCCCCGGGGGGCCCCCCGCGTCGGGGGGGGCCCCCAGGGCCTGCTGCGGGTCCGGGGGGGCCCCCGGAAGCGGCAGGTAGCCGTGCTTGTGGGCGAGAGAAACTGCTGCTGCTGCTGCTGCTGCTGTGGCTAGCTGAGCTAGCGAAGAAGCCTCAGCAAAGGAAAGAGCAGCACGGCCCTCGCGGGCCCAGATGTGCATGAGAAAGCCATAGACAAGAAGAGCAGCAGCAGCTAGCCAAGGGTACAGGGGGCCCCCGGGGGCCCCCAACTTGACGAAAGTTAGCCACATGGAGGCCAGCAGCAGCAGCTGCGGCAGCAGGGCCCCCGCCACGGACTGCAGCAGAGACCACTGGACCCCTGCAGCAGCCAGCGCCGTCGGCAGCACCTGCAGCAGCTCCCCCAGGGACCCCGGCACTGCAGCAGCAGCAGCAGCAGCAGCAGCGCCCCCGCTGCTGCTGCTGCTGCAGCACGACAGGAACAAGGGCACCAAAAACAGACCCACTGCCCACGAAGTCGGCCGCTCTTCCAGCTCTTCTGCTGCAGCAAAGCAGGGGGGGGCCCCCCCGGGGCCCTCTGCAGCAGCGGGCCCCGAGGGGGGCCCCGGGGGCCCCTCCGCGGGGGCCTCCGGGGAGGGGGGCCCCTCGGGGGGCCCCCCCACCAGCGGGCAAGAGTACCCCTTTCTGGGGGCCCCCAAACCCGCCAGGGAGGCCTCAAAAGAAGTGACGCACTGGCGCAGCACGAGGGAGCAGCAAAGGGCCCAGAGAAGCGGCCAGGGGCTGAGCCCGCAGCAGCAGGAAGGCAGGCCGAGAGCTGCTGCAGCAAGTGCTGCAGCAAACGGCAGCAGCACCAAGACCCCGTCGAAGCCACAGAGGCTCCAAAGGCCAAAAGTGGTTAAGTCCTTCATGGGGGGCAGCGAGGGCTCGTCGGAGCCCTCCATGTCGCAGCATTCCCAGGCGTGCGGGAGGGCCGACGCAGCAGCAGCAGCAGCAGCAGCAGGGGCGGCAGCAGCAGCCCGCTGCTGCTGGCGCAGCCGGCCCCGCGGCATTTTGCAGCAAAGAAACTTCAAATTAAAGAAAAGATAAACTCAAAGAGCTTCGAGAGCCCCAGAGCTGCGAAAGAGGCCCCCGGGGAGGCTCGAGAGCTAGCCACGGGCCACGCAGGCTCGCCACCGCCACGCAGGCACTAAGGCAACCCCAAACTCCAAATCCAATCAATTAATTGGACCTTTCAACAAACTAAAAAGGAAACTTTTTGCACACTGAGAGCCAGCCGGCAGGCCGGGCCTCAGCTGGCCCCCAGCCTCGCGGCGAGTCGGCCGCAGCCCCGGCGAGCGGTCACCAGCAGCAGCAGCAGCAGCAGCAGCAGCAGCAGCAGCAGCAGCAGCGGCGCAGCCCTGTCTGCCAGCCAGCGGGCCCCTCTGCTCTACACCGAGCTTTTTTAAAGCCTTTTAGAGATTAAAAGTCAAATTTAGTTTCATTTTTCGTTTTCTGCCATTTATTTCTCATTAACTCCCGGCGATTCCGCTGCAGCACCCACAAGCCCTAGCTGCCGCCCCCTCCACTCCGTAAACCCACCAGCGTTTGTCTCTGCCTCTTAGACTTTTTCTTTAATTTATTTGTCACATTTTTTGCATTATATTTTTATTTTCCTCCACAGTTTCGTTTTTCCTGCAGACTCCCCCCCAAATGCTGCAGGGGCCCCCACCGCCTCTGGCTCTTCTGCCGAGTTGCGCTGCAGCAGCTCGCCCGGCCGCAGCAGCAGCAGCAGCAGCAGCAGCAGCAGCAGCTGAAACGGGCCAGCACTGGCTCCCCAATGGGCCCTGAGGGGCCCCCCTCTCTGGGGGAGGCCTGGGGGCCCCCCGGCGAACCCTGGGGGCCCCCCGACGAGCTCTCGAAGCTGCTTGAGCAGTTTCTTGACCTTTGCGAGGCCCTGCCCTCCGCCCTAGAAGCAGCAGCAGACGCAGCCGTGTCCACAGCAGCAGCAGCCCCAGCAGCAGCAGCAGCAGCAGCAGCAGCCCCAGCAGCAGCCCCAGCAGCAGCAGCAGCAGCAGCAGCAGCAGCAGGAGCTCTGGGGCTGGAGCTGCACCTGCCGCCAAACCTCCGCAGCTGGCTGCGGGCAGCACTGGGGGCCCTTTGGCCGCTGCTGGGGGCCCCCCAGCTGCATGCAGCGGCGCTGCAGCACTTTGCTGCTGCGCTGCAGCAGCACGCAGTCGAGCGGCTTTCCCGGGACTTCTGGGGTTTCTGCTGCCCCCGCCCGCGTTCCGCTGCTGCAGCAGCTGCAAGCAGCAGCAGCAGCAACAGCAGCAGCAGCAGCAGCAACAGCAGCAGCAGCAGCAGCAGCAGCAGCAGCAGCAGCAGCAGCGAGTGCTGGGTTGCTGCTGCTGATGTGGAGGCCAGTTTGCTGCAGTGCGCCTTGAGGGTTTACCTGCAACTGGCTTTTGCCTTTGAGCTGCTGGCAGCCCTCACGGCCCACTGGGAGGAGCCGGAGAACAGGCTGCTGCAGCAGCAGCAGCAGCAGCAGCAGCAGCAGCAGCAGCAGCAGCAGTGGAGCCACGGCGCGTGCTGCTGCCCGTTTAGGGAGATTTCTGCTGCTCTCGTTGTGGCTGTCCGAGAAGCTGTTGCAGCAGCAGAGCCTCCTCAAGCTGAGGGGCTGCTGCGGCTGCTGCTGCGGCGCCAGCTGAGGAAGTTTGCTGCTGCTGCTGCTGTTGCTGCTGCTGCTGCAGTGGCAGCACAGGAAGCCCCAGCAGCAAAAAGCTGCGGACGCGCAGACGTCGAGAACGTGGCAGTTATGCTGCTGCAGCTGCTGCTGCAGCAGCTGCAGCACAGACACAGCATCGCAGCAGCTCCAGAGACAGCAGCAGCAGTTGCTGCCTTTCTTGCTGCTGCTGCCGCTGAGGAAGAAAGCTCTTGCTGTGCATGCCAGCAGCAGCAGCGGCAGCAGCAGCAGCAGCAGAAAGAAGCTGCTGGTGCTGCTTCCGCAAAGCTGGCCTTTCCACCGACAGGTGGGGTTGCAGTTGCTGCTGCTGCTGCTGCTGTTTCCTTCCTAGCAGCAGCTGCTGCTGCTGCTCGTTTGCTGCCTCTGCTAGTTTGTTGTGTAGCTGCGCTAGTGCTCTTGCTGCTGCTGCTGCTGCTGCTGCTGCTGCTGCAGGTACGGAGGGTCTGCTGGAGCTGCTTGCTGCTGCGACGCACGACCCAGCAATATCCGAGCAGCAGCAGCAACAGCAGCAACAGCAGCAGCAGCAGCAGCAGCAGCATGAAAGGCAATTCGTGAGACGGGCAAACACGCCCCCAAAGCTGCGCACTTTGCTGCCGCTGCGGCGCCGCCGCACAGCGCCAGCCACTGCAGCAGCAGCAGCAACCACAGCAGCAGCAGCAGCAGCAGCAGCAGGCGGTGAAGCAGCTACTGGGCTTCGCGAGGGTCAGCCCACGACAGGGGACGCTGCCTGGAACAGCAGCAGCAGCAACAGCAGCAGCAGCAACAGCAGCAGCAGCGCAGCAGCAGCAGCAGCAGCAACGGACGGGAGCAGCAGCCTCATTGACCACTGGTCTTCGCCGCATTTCCCTTCTTCTGCGCAGCAGCTGCTTCAGGTGTCGCTGCTGCTGCACCGGGCGCTGCAGAAGGCGCCGCAGCAGCAAACGGGAACGCCTCCAGCAGCAGCAGCAGCAGCAGCAGCAGCAGCAGCAAGCAGCAGCAGCTGCGTGCCTTGCAGCAGCTTTTGTGTCTCTTGCGGGGCCTCTTCAGACTGGCTGCTGCAAGAAGAAACATTTCGCAGCATTTGTGGGGCCCCACAGAGCAGCAGCGCCAGTAAGTGGCTGCCAAGGCAGCTGCCCTGCGGCTGCTCAGCAGCAGCAGCAGCAGCAGCAGCAGCTGCTGCTGCTGCTGCTGCAGCAGCAGGCACAGGGCCGATGCTGCTGCACGTCGTTGACTGCGGGGAAGCCTCTGACGGCTCCGCAGCATTCTGCCTTCCTGCTGCTGCACTGAATGCCCTTTATGGGGCTCCCTGTCTGCAGCAGCAGCTGCAGCAGCAGCAGCAGCAGCAGCAGCAGCAGCAGCAAGCCTTCGCTGCTGCAGCCTCTACTCCGAAAGCTTCTTCACCCCCGAGCATCCTCCCATGCTGCGGCGGCAGCCCCGCCATCTGCAACGCCACCACCAGCAGCAGCAACAGCAGCAGCAGCAGCAGCAGCAGCAGCAGCAGCAGCAGCAGCAGCAGCAGCAGCATTGGGGTCCCAGGCACGTTTGGCCTGCTGCCCATTCTGGGGGACATCTTTTCGCGAGTTGGGGCTGGGGGCCTCTGGAGTCGAGTGCTGCTGCAGTCAGCAGTTGCTGCTGTTGACTATTTAGGCAGCGAGCAGCAGAGTCAGCAGCAGCAGCTGCTGCCCGCGCTGCTGCTGCTGCTGCGGTTGCTGCTGCTGCCCTTCATCAAACTGGCTAGCGGGCTCGCAGAGCACAGACACCTCCGCTGCTGCCTGCGGGCTGCTGCTGCTGCTGCTGCTGCTGCTGCTTTCCCGCAGCCGCAGGCAGCAGCAGCAGCAGCGGCAAACGCAGCGAAGGCGTCGCCGCCCTCTCTTGCACTCGACGAAGGGCCCAGCAGCAGAGCAGCAGCAGCAGCAGCAGCAGCAGCAGCAGCAGCAGCAGAAGGCAGGCTCCCGCTGCTGCAGCTCTTCGAGGGTGGCTTAGTGGCTGTACTTGCTGCTGGGGGCCCCCGGGGGGCCCCCCAGGCAGTGTACAGCCGCAAGCAGCAGAAAGCGGCCTTAAGTCCTGCTGCTGCAGCAGAGGACCAGTGGTCCTGTGGAGCAGCAGCAGCAGCAGCAGCAGCGGCGGAGGAGCATTCTGCTGCGGAGAAGCTGCTGGTCGCAGCAGCAGCAGCAGCAGTCACCAGCAGCAAAGCTGCGCAGCTGCTGCAGCTCGTCCGGGCCTTTCCCCAATCTATGGAGGCCCTAAGAGATATTTGCTTCGCAGAAAAGCTGCTGCAGTGTGCAGCGCTTCAGGAAGCAGCAGCAGCACGCGCAGCAGCAGCAGCAGCAGCAGCGCACGCAGCAGCAGAAGCAGCAGCAGCAACAGCGACAGCAGCAACAGCCTGCTCGCCGCCGCAGCGAACAGCAGCAATGCTGGGGTGGCGGCAGCCAGCCGCAGCACCCGCACCCGCTGCAGCAGCAGCAGCAGCAGCAGCAGGAGCTGCAGCAGGTGCTGCTGCGAGCAGCAGGGCGGGGGCCCTGCTGCGGAGATGCATAGAAGAAGAGAGCAGCAAAGGACTGAGTGCTGCTGCTGCTTGTCATCTCGCGCTGCAGTGTTTGCTGACACTTTGCTTCCTGGGCGAGAAGGAAGCTGGTTGTTTGCAGATTCTGCAGCCGCTGCTGCTGCTGCTGCAGCAGCAGCAGCAGGAGGCTGGGAAGCACCTGTGTCTTTTGCTGCCAGCAGCACGACGCAGCTTGAAGCTGCTTCGCAACAGCAGCAGCAGCAGCAAGGCAGCGTGCGTTTGCTGCTGCTGCACCTTGGCGGCGCCTGGCCGCGGCTCGACGATAGCAGCAGCAGCTGCTGCTGCTGCTGCTGCGTCAGCAAGCTGCGGCCCCGATGCTGCAGCAGCAGAGGATTTGCTGCTGCGCTTTGTAGTGGAAGCTGTAGGTGGCCGGCAGCAGCTTGCTGCTGCTTTCGAGCTGCAGCTAGCTCAGGAGCTGCTGAGTCCTTTGTGGTTTCCCAGGGCTTGTGCTGCAGAGGAGCAGCGCAGCAAAACTGCTGCTGCTGCTGCTGCTGCTGCTGCTGCTGCTGCTGCTGCTGCCGTGTGGGGCCCCGCAGGGGCCTATGGGGGGGCCCCGTCATCCCCTAGCCAAATGCTTGTGAAGAGAAGAATGCTGATGGCTGCTGCGCCTGACAGCAGCAGCAGCAGCAGCAGCAGCAGCAGGAGCAACAGGGCGTGCTGCTGCTTCGGGAGGCAGCAGCACGCCGCATGCGGCAGCTGCAGCTGCTGCGACGCGCTGCACGCAGCAGCAGCAAAGCTGCTGCCGCGCGATGCAGGAGCTGCTGCCGCTGCTGCTGCTGCTGCTGCTGAAGCAGATGCAGGCAGCCCCAGCAGCGACGGCTCCTCGTGCGACGAGGGGACCAGCAGCAGCAGCAGCAGCAGCAGCAGCAGCAGCAGCAGCACGAGCATGCTGCAGAGCATCAGCAGCAGCAGCATCAAGAAGAGGCCCCGTCTTAGGGACCTCCGGGGCCCCTTCTCTTCTGCTGTTTTCCTTTTGGAAAATCTCAAAGAAAGTAAACTTACGAATTGCCTGGTAATGCTGCAGGACGCAGCGCGCAGCTTTGCTGCTACGAAGCAGCTCCGCAAGGCCAGCAGCAGCAGCAGCAGCAGCAGCAGCAGCAGCAGCAGGGGGCAGCAAAACCCCTGGGAGGAGAGCCCCCCTGCTTCTCAGGCTTCAGTTTTGCTGCCGTCGCAGCGCGAAGGGCTCCGCAGCTCTGCTTCTCCTTTGCATGCTGCTGCAGGAGCCCCTGCTGCTGCTGCTGCTGCTGCTGCTGCAGCCACCACCCCGCAGCAGCAGCAGCAGCAGCAGCAGCAGCAGCAGGTGGAGCTGTCAGTTGCTGTCGTGTCTCGGGGCTACTGGCCCGAGCAGCAGGTGCCAGTGGAGAAGGACTCGCAGCAGCAAATTGGAAAGCTGCCAGCCCCCTTAGCAGCAGCAGTCAGCAGCAGCTGCGAAGCCTTTGCTGCAACAGCAGCACTTTGGCTGCTGGAGCCGCGCCACCCTTTGTCGAAAGTTAAGATGAGGGGCCCCCAAGGGGGGCCCCCCGTTTGGGTCCCCATAGCCCACGCAGCAGTCCTCTTGGTGCTGCAGCAGCAGCAGCAGCAGCAGCAGCAGCAGCCAGCCGCAGAAGAGAACATGCACGTTGAGGAGGAGGAGCAGCAGCAGCAGCAGCAACAGCAGCAGCAGCAGCAGGGCGAAGTTGAGGGCATGACTTGTAGGGAGATTGCTGCGGAGTTGTGCTGCACCGAAAGCCTCGTGTGGCAGTCCATAAAACAGCTGCTGCAGTTGCGGTGGGTGCAGCGCAGCAGCAGCAGCAGCAGCAGCAACAGCAGCAGCAGCAGCAGCAGCAGCAGCAGAGGCCCCAAAGAAGCCACGGAGTCTCGCTATGTCCTCTTCAAGGGGGGCCCCTCCGCAACGGCCCGCGAGAGGCCGCGGGCTGAAGCGGCACAAGCTGTTGCTGCTGCTGCTGCTGCTGCTGAGGGCAGCAGCAGCAGCGCAGGGGAGGAGCCGGGGCCTCTTGGAGCTGCTGCTGCAGCAGAAGGCCCCTCGCATTTTGCCCAGGGAGAAGACTTGTGTCTTTCTTCTTTAAAAGCAGAAGCAGAAGCAGCAGGGGGGCCCCCCAGCCTGCTGCTGGGGGGCCCCTGCAGCAGCAGGGGGGGGGCCCCCCCCCCGGCCGGGGACTGCAGCAAGCTGCAGCGGGGGGGAGAAGCATCCCCCCAGGACGGCTCTCCGTCTGCTGCTGCTGCTGCTGCTGCTGCTGCTGCTGCTGTGTCTCCGGCGTGCGAAGCCTTCATCCTGAACTTCCTGAGAGACAGGGCTGGTCGCGTTGCATGCGCTGCCACTCGTGCTGCACCCACAGCCCTCATTTTGCTGCGGCTGAAGCAGCAGCAGCAGCAGCAGCAGCAGCAGCAGCAAAACGACACTCTCCCCACAACTCTCCAGGGCCTCCTCAGGGCCCTCGAGGCCCTCGAGGCCAAGGGCAAAGTCCGCAAGACCTGCGGCAATTGGGAAGTTGCTGAATGAGCTTTCCTGCTGCTTCAGGGGCCCCTAAGGGGGCCCCTTCAGGGGCCCCTCAAGGGGCCCCCAGGGGGCCCCTAGGGGCCCTCAGGAGGCCCCCAGGGGGCCTTCAGGGGGCCCCTGGGGGCCCCCTGGGGGCCTCCAGGGACCCCCAGCGGGCCTTTAGGGGCCCAGGGGGGCCTTTAGGGGCCCCCAAGGAGAATTCAGGGGCCCCCAGGGGGCCTTGAGGGGGGCCCCCAGGGGGCCTTTAGGGGCCCCCAGGGGGCCTTTAGGGGCCCCCAGGGGGCCTTTGGGGGCCTCCAGGGGGCCTTTAGGGGCCCCCAGGGGGCCTTTGGGGGCCCCGAGGGGACCTTTAGGGGCCCCCAGGGGGCCTTCAGGGGCCCCCCTGGAGTCTTCTTTTGGGCCGCGTCTTGCGGCTTGAAAGGGACTTCTCAGGGGGCCCCTAAGGGGCATAAAAGTGCCCTTTGGGGGGCCCCTTGGGGGGCCCCTTTGGGGGCCCCCAGGTGCCCTTTTGGCAAACTCACTAGAGGTTCTAGTTCTACGGGGGGCCCCCACTAGGGCCTTTCCACTGGGAGTCCCTAAGGGGGGCCCCTGGGGGCCCCCAAGGGGGCCCCTGGGGGCCCCCCAGGGGGCCCCCAAATGCGTTTTTGGCTGTTTTGGCACTCTTGGGTGCTGCTGCGGGTGCAGCGCCTAAAGGTTTGTGTCTGCTGCTGCTGCAGCAGGGCTCCGAAAGCAGCAGGAAGCAGCAGAAGCAGCAGCAGGAAGCAGCAGAATCAGCAGCAGCAGCAGCAGAAAGCAGTCAGTTTGCTTTTTAACGGGGGCCTGCAGTCCCCATTTTATGTTTCAAACCAAAGGGGGCCCCACAGGGGGGCCCCCAGGGCCTCTTAAAGTTTAAATGATTTAAAAACAGCTCGGGGCCCCTAAATTGTAGAGGGTTTAGGGGCCCCGGGGGCCCCTAAACCCTCAAGGGGCCCCCAGGTTGTAGAGGGTTTAGGGGCCCCGGGGGCCCCTAAACCCTCTACAGCTCTAGCCCTTAGAGCCGGGAGCAAGATTTGATTTGGCTGTTGGGGGGCCCCCTTGTTGGGGCCCCTGGGGGGCCCCTAAACCCCCTGTGGGGCCCCGGGGGCCCCTAAGCCCGGCTTCAGTACCCTAAACAGAAAAGCTAAAGGGGCGGGGGGCCCCCTGTATTTATTTAAAAGGGGGGCCCCCCTTTTAAATAAAGTTTTGAAGTTTTTAATTTAATTTCTTCAGCGCCGCTGCGCTGCCCAGCGCCTGCGGCTCTTCGTTGAAGGAAGCCCCATAGAGCGCTGCTTATAACTCTTCCGGGGCCTCCAGCGGAAGAGGAGGGGGGGCCCCCCTGGGGCCCCGGGGGGCCCCCCTGGGCCCTCGGGGGGCCCCTGGGCTGGGGGCCCCTCCTCGATCCGGTGGGGGGCCCTTGCGGGGGGGCCCCCTGGGGGGCCCCAGCAGATCGGCAGCAGCCCAGGGGCGAAGGCCACGCCCAGCGGGGGCCCCCCTGTACCCACTGTTGGCTGCAGCCAGGAGTAGGGCCTGGGGGAGGGGCCCCTGGGAGGGCCACAGCCAGAAAGGCCCGCGGGCTCTTCACGAAGGGGGCCCCCCGGGGCCCCTGGGAACTGCTGCTGCTGCAGCAACGAAAGGCCGGCTGGGGGG